TGGCACTCTCTCTACACGCCCCGTTCTTACCGGACGTGGCTGTGTACTAGTATATCCCGCACAGTCAAACGGACGTCGCACTTTGGCAAGGGTTTTACGAGCGATCGAAAGAGGACCTAAGTGACCATAATTCAATTCCCCTGTCCCCCTTTGAGGTACATATTGCTTGAAATGTTTGATATTAATCATGTCAGTACTGACTACTGAGCTGATGATAACCTCGGGGAGTTATCAAATGTAAATAATGAAATAAACTATATACAAATAATAATTAAAAAAAACGAAATTTATATATTATATGCGTACACCCATCTTCGCTAGCCAAGGGTTACGATCCACTTCCCTCCTCTTCGCCCTTGGCAGATTAAGCCAACATTTGTGATAACAATGTTGCGCCATCTATCGGTAGATTAAAGTCACGCCCATTCCGAATACATTATTCTTGACCAATGGTAGCACTTGAACTCTTCAATTTGGAGGTAAAAGCACGGAAGCGTCTAGATTCTACACACTTGGTAATGCAGGAAACGAAAATAAACGTTGACATTCATGCATTTGTGCAAGAAACATACACAGGAACTTCTATTAGTTGATTAAAAACATTCAAATTGTCACTAAATATAGTCGTATGTTTAGGGATGTAAAGACTTGTTGCACAATAAGCACGTGGCAATTGTTTACATACACTTTCTACATTTACACGTGATCATGTTATAGGCGCTTTTTGATTGGATGCAGCGAGTTTCGACTGCAACCAATGAAAATCATTACCTTGTGTCTCGGAAATTCTATCTCAATCCGCCAAGGGTGGAGAGGAGAGAAGTGGATCGTAACCCTTGGCTAGCGAAGATGGCGTACACCTCACAATGATAAATTGTCAATTTTCATTCTTTTAATTTCTGATAGAAAAGAAGCTTTGATGGTGCTTTATCTCTTTGTGACCAAGCATAATATACACTTGAGCAGACTCCTTTTCAAGTAGGGTCATTTGCACAATATTTTTTTTTCCATTTCTAGAACTATAAAACATATTACCATCAATACAAATAGTAAATGAAACATCTAAATGTATTTGTTGTTAAAAAAGCACACATTTATCCGCTTTACACACTATACGTACATACGTCTCAATCCAACATATCTGTTCTTACATAAAGATTGTTTATATCACGAACTATTTATTGTATGATATCCATATCGGTACACTTACACGAAGATTGTTCACATCACGTAAATTTATTGTATCAAATCGACATCGGTATACGTATATGTGAATCGATACAACATGTTTACCTGGGTGTTGGCTGGGTGTGGACATGTTGGATCGATAAAAAAATACGTAAAAAAAGAGGGCGTGTATGGTCTTTACTTGGGCGCAGACATGTTTGATCTATCCAAATATACGTAAGCTGGTGTCCATGTATTTGATAAGACTTAGCAAACAAAAATATATACAAATGCACGATGCTATTTATAAAATGTACGTTTTATTACAGCACTATCAAACTTGGTTAGTGCATTGGTACTTTATTTAAACCTTTTTATTGTTTTTTAAACGTAAATGCACGGACATATTCCTTTTTAGCCATAGAAAATTTTTTTAAATTTTTTTTTTCACTCGATAAAACTTGGACGCACTCGAAAAAGCACGGACTGCTCTCGAAAAAACACGGATATATAAATAAATTAACTGTCCAAAATGTCGTTATCAACACAATAACTAAAATTTTGTAAAGTGCCTGTATGTATGTATGTATTTCCTTTGACATTTTCATTGGTATGTGTATAAAAATTGCTTTAGTCTAAATTTTAGAATAAAGCATTGTAAGGCTAAATTAAAAGTTTTTAAAACATAATAATGTAGGATTGATAATATCTTTTTATCACAAAAATTATTAACCTTGTATGATCTGGTATTTTAGGTTCTAGTACCGTTGTTTACGTCTTGGTTGTGTCTGTTTGTTTACATTTTTGATCATATTCACTAGAATAAACGTGGTCACCCTAAAAAACAAAACAATCAAATCACTCGAAAACACGCTATCCCAGCCTGACACTATACTTACTGTGTGCCTGTTTATATGAACATTCCATACTGCATATTTAGTAATGGGCACATTTCGATGCGTTAATTTAAATACGCGACATTTTGTGTCATATTTCATTTAGGGTATCGTGGATCTCTGTATCATAAGAACCAGTACACAAACGATTTACGAATCTCTGTATTGCATGATTCATTTACTTGGATGATTCATTCATTTAAAATACTTAGTAATATAGTTAATTATCTTTTTGTTGTGTGTCAATATGAAACAATATTAAGTCCATTTATTTATCTATTGTAACGTGAGTCTTTAAGGCCAAGGCAGAAAACCAACAAACAAATTAGAATTATCGCGAAGTGTAACTACCTGTAACGAAATGAACTGTCCACTTGAAGGTTTCAGCTTCCTTTATAAACGTTAACTGGTCGAATATATTGACGGACCTTTTGGCGGATCACTTGGGCTCCGACTGGACGGAGTGTAACAATACTTGCTCTATGAATCTTAATTGTTTAATATATAGATAAAAATCAATTACATGCTTTCCGTGGCGCTTTTCTGGATTTACCTTAATCGTGAACGCTCAAAGTCGAATATTTGAAAGCTAAGGATGTATAAAACCAAAAACGTTGAAGAGATAATGTGTGTTTATAATTATGTAGTTTTGTAATAAAGCTGTGATCAAATAGTGTCAATGCCGTGTTTGTGATCATTGCGTATCAATGATAAGCATTTTGATAAATATACCTTATACTTGAAGTCCCAATGACATTAGCGTACTCTTGACTCTAGTTAGGAGTCTAGAAGGATACCAAAGGGACATTCAAATTCATAAGTCGAAAATAAACTGACAACGCCATAACTAATAAGGAAAAAGACAAACACGCAAACAACAGTACACAAAACACAACACAGAAAACCAAAGACTGAGCAAAACAAACCCTACCAAAAACTGGGGGTGATCGCATGTGCGCCAGAAGGATAAGCAGATCCTGCTCCACATATGGAATCCGTCGTGTTGCTCATGTAAGTACAAACCAGGGGACAAGTCTAATTCGGTAGGTCACATTCGGGGTAAATGGGACGGGATTGTAGTTACGATAATTGGAACATATTCGTTGTCATCTGTAAAAAGGATATTCCATAACGGTCAATCAACTAATTAGCTATTTTGTTTGTTTGTTTGGTTTAATTTTTTTACGCCACTTTCTTGTCTCAAACAAAGAAAAACAAAAAAAACTCATCCTTATGTGCAATAGTGATTTTGAGACGAAGGTAAAAAATAATGCCCATATCAATTCAGGAGCTTTCTTTGATACGATATCGCGGAATTTTAAAATATTTTTTTCTTATAATAACATAGACATAAGGAATAACACGAGATAAAATTCTAATCTGACTGTAACATCAATTTATTGAGATCAATAAACTGTATGAAATGCGTTTGTCATCTAGGATGAATATATGAAGTAATTGTCATAAGGTCATATAAGTCTCTGGGGGGAAACGAACTCTCCGGATGTTAGATAACATCCTTAACATACATATGATATCATATAAACTTATAAAACGCATAATCCTTTTTGATGAGACTGTGTTAACAATTAATGATGAAGTCCATTTGCTTAAATTTGATAATATTGAACCTTGTTAATGTCGTGGATTTGTTAAATAATGACGACATATTTAAAGTCATGTTAAACCGAACAGACTTACTATGTCCCATGTTCTGTAATGGATATCGTCTGGTCAGTTGCTGTATGTGTAATGTACAAAAAACACCAGAAAAACTACAGACATTAAATGTTGTGCACAATGCCAAAACGGAATATCCTAAAATAGAAGATCCAAAAGTGTTGAACATTCAGTACCAGATAATACACAGATTTAGAAAGACGAAGAGACTTCCAGTTAACATATGTAATTTTACAGGAATTGTTGAAATAGACTTTTCTTACAATGAGATAAAAAGAATTGACAATATTTCTTGTGTTAAAAGTTTAGATATTCTGATCATGCGTAGAAACAGAATAGAATATTTGAGGAACGATACCTTTATCGGAATGAAGTTTTTACGAAAGATTGACCTTTCATATAATAATTTAAGATATATAGAACCAGGATTTTTAATAAATATGGCTGGAAGTCTTCTTAATTTTGATGTATCTAATAATGTTTTAACAACAGTAGATGTCACTAATTTTCTGTGGGAAAAACAACCAGCGTTCTGCAAAACAGATTTTTCCTTTAATGAAATATCAAGTATAAGCAATGAACTACATTGGACATGCAAAACGAATACACAATTTGGATATGGAGGAATGGTTATTTTTTCAAATAATAATTTTTCACATTTTGCGAATTTTTCTGAGATAGGATTTAGAAATTTCTTTTTGTTAGGAAAACTTCTAGATTATGGATTTGATTTTCGAGAAAACAATTGGATATGTGATTGTCGGATTTATTTCTTTGCATTTAAAGCATCCCTGGTTTTAGATAAGCAGTATAGAGATTATTTTGAGTTGTCTTGTCATTATCCTCCAGAATTCAAAAACATGCTTTTAATTGATTTTATAAAAAGTCAAACTCTAGATCGTTTAATCTGTAATCTAACGATTGCCGACAGATGTCCACCAAAATGTCGCTGCTTTTACCAGCCAGGAAGATCAAGAACTGTAGTAGACTGTTTCGGAACCGGAAGAAGAAAATTACCCTCTGCGTTGCCATTGAAGACTGACCTTGAGGTAGATTTTTCAAGTAATGAAATATCAAGTTTGCGCAACGATACGGGTAGTGGAAACATAATATATTCTTATAGCAAATACATAAGTAAACTGGATTTATCAAACAATACAATCAAGATGATCCCGAACGATCTTGTTTTTAAATTACGAAACATTAATTTGATTAATATATCAAAAAACCACCCCATCCTATAACTATTTGCTTCATCAATAAGAAAGTTATTAGTGTTATTAGCCTTTTTGAAATTGTAACAACGTATACTGTATATACCGTACAGTATGCTGCAGTATGCTGTTAGCTTATTCGAAGATGAAATGTCTTTTCGGAAACACTCGCTTTCTTTTTGAATTTTAACAAATTATACTGTATATACTGTACAGTGTGCTGTTAGCTTATTTAAAGATTAAAAGTCTTTTCGGAAACACTCTCATTTGCTGTTTTAGAAAGAACGTGGTACTTGAACAAGAAGAAAGCTGCGGCCATTTTAACAAATTTGGTAGTTTTACATTTTAAAAGGTAGATAGATTAACTACATGTACTGACACCTTGGGTTAATATATAAAGGAGCAATACGCACAATATTAGTCTAATTTTTGATTAATTTTACGCTGCAAATTATGAGACAAAATTGAAATTTATGAGCAATGCTGTTTGTTTTTTTTTTTTAAAGAAAACTAGTTGATTTACTGTGTTATCAGGACTTTTGTTTACAATTACCAAACATTTAGATTGAATTTTCGACTGTTCGACATACTAAGGAGATAGTAAAAATGTTGTGAAGGGATGGTAACGATATTTTTTTACTTGCCATGCTTGAAGCAAGAATCATTTTTGTGATACCGTTTTATTTTCTTTTATTTCTTCCTGGAAGCACATTATAGAGCCTGAATATTTATTTTAAAGTTCTCAGTGTCTTCTATTCCTCCTGAGACTATTATACTAACACGTTAATAGTCCCAGATTGCTCCAAAAATATTTTATTTTACGATTTATTTACAGCTTGAAAATAGCATGGGTGACCCTCAAAAGCAAGGAATATCATGACCCATCCCAGTCCCCCCCCCCCCCCCCCCCCCCTCCCCTCCGGACCCTCGAGGTTTTCTTTCATTTCAAAAAAATAACTTTGAACGATCTCATTTTGAGGAATGTGAACTTTAATAATTAAATTTACAGACTAATGGTATCTGAAATTCAATTAAAAGTATCCGTTTGGGCTTAAAATGATAACAAAAATCGAATTAGAATGCAACAAAATTAACTTAAAACGTAATATTCTGTTTATTTTGCCAAACAAACATAGTAATGGTACACTTCCGGTAGGGTAGGGGCGTGTACAATACTGAAACCATCTCGGTGAAAACATGACTTTTCTGGATTTTGACAATAAAAACATAAAAAGAAAAATGAATCCTAACTACTTATCTCACTTTATTTTTACAACGAAACTGGAACCAAACTATAAGAATAAACTTTCATTCCTAACCTAGTCAATTAGAGATGATGACAAAAATTTAGCAAAGTTTAAATCCTTAAAAATAATTTAAGATCATGGAAATTAATATAAGATAGAACTTGTGGCCTTAATTGTTTAAAGTTATGGATAGGTTGATAGTATTTTAGGTAAAATAGGTATATGCCATACCTAAAGTAAGAGAGGTGGTGAATAAAAAAATTTCACAATTTCGAAAAACAAAAATATATTTAAAGACTTGTACAATTTAGTTTCTAATTAAAAAGTTTTACATAAACATCAAAGCTATATGACACAAAATAAATGGCTTATAAATTTACAAGCCTATATACTATTATAAATCCAATAGGAATATTTAATAGGAAATTTGTCTGAAAACCCTTACATAAATTTAGGTTTTTCTGGTTCTATGGGTCAATAAATCTATAATTATGATTATTATAGTGAACATTTTAGTAAACTTTTTATTTAAAAATTATTTTTTTTAGAAATATACTGAATTGTAAATGATAAAATTTGTTAAAGGGGAGATAATCAGAAGCTTTCATTTAAAGTAGCATTTCATCAGTGCTTTTTTTATTCTTATGAATAGGATTAATAATTAGCACCAATAGTTACTCACACAGAAGAGACAAATAGAGCTAAATATATGATTGCAAAATAAATGGAATACAATAGAGTGGTTTACGTGTAAAACCCCCTTCTGTTAGACAAAAAGTAAAATGATATCATCACAACATTAATTGTATAAAGAATAAAGTGGTTTACCAAGAAATACAAACACAAAATATATGAGGAATATGTCAATGAGACAGCAACTGAACAATACAAAAAGAGACAAGTAGAGGTCAGTACATGGTCTACAGAGAAATTCAAACTTTTAGATATATATGAAAATAATTTGTAGCAAAATAAAAGTGACCTACTAATTTACAGTTTGTTTTTTTTTAGTTTGAAGATATAATAATACTATGCGCTGATGTAGCTGAAGGCTAGGGCAAGTCATACCTATTGGTAAGTAAACATTGTAGTCAAATTGTATAGGAATGTCTACTAGAGTTTGTTCATAGTGTATTTCATTTGTAAATGATATAATTTTGAAAGGGGAGATATTTAAAAGGTACTTGTTTCATTACAAGTAGCATTATATCAGTGCTTTTATTTCCTTTGCAATGTATATGAACATTTTGCACTAATAGCAACGTTGGTTAAGGCAAAACGTAACATGAAATCATTGCACTATAAATTGCATAAAGAAATAGTGGTTGACCAAGAAATACAAACAAAAAATATGAGGAATATGTCAATGAGACAGCAACCAACCAAATACAAATAGAGACGAGTTGAGGTCAGTGGATAGTCTACAGAAAAAGTTATAACTTATATACATACATATATGAAAATAACAGCAACTGAATGTGACCTTTATAATTTACTGAATGATATTTTAGATTGAAGATAGTTTACTGTGAACTCATGTGATCCAAGGTCCAGTTAATTTAATACTACATGTATTGGTAAGTAGGCACTAAAGAAACTATTTGCTTATTAATTTTATCCAATACAATTGGGAAATGTTTTTTAATTGTAATTTAATTATAAAATTATGAAAGGGGAGGTAATCAAGCACTTTTTAAATAGGATTTACATTTTGCACTAGGAGCAATATTTTTTTGATATGGTACAAGGGAGTGCTCTTATAAAAGGAGAAAGATATAGAAAAATAAAAATACATACATTTGATATATACTATTGGTTTCAGTATCTGAAAATGAATGTGACCTTAATAATTCAATTATATTTTCAGTTTGAAGAGCTAATAACTACTGTGTACTGATGTCATGTGTTTCAAGGCCACGTTAAGTTGTTATTACATTTGTATTGGTAAGTTGTGGCATTGAAGTCAAATATATAGGAACTTTTACTTATTCATTTAATCAAACAAAATTCAGGAATAAATTTTAATTCTAATTGAAAAAACTCTGAAAGGGGAGATAATCAAGAATTGTTCCATTAGAAGTAGAATTACACCCGTTCTATTAGTAGACAAAAAGTAAAATGATATCATCACAACATTAATTGTATAAAGAATAAAGTGGTTTACCAAGAAATACAAACACAAAATATATGAGGAATATGTCAATGAGACAGCAACTGAACAATACAAAAAGAGACAAGTAGAGGTCAGTACATGGTCTACAGAGAAATTCAAACTTTTAGATATATATGAAAATAATTTGTAGCAAAATAAAAGTGACCTACTAATTTACAGTTTGGTTTTTTTTAGTTTGAAGATATAATAATACTATGCGCTGATGTAGCTGAAGGCTAGGGCAAGTCATACCTATTGGTAAGTAAACATTGTAGTCAAATTGTATAGGAATGTCTACTAGAGTTTGTTCATAGTGTATTTCATTTGTAAATGATATAATTTTGAAAGGGGAGATATTTAAAAGGTACTTGTTTCATTACAAGTAGCATTATATCAGTGCTTTTATTTCCTTTGCAATGTATATGAACATTTTGCACTAATAGCAACGTTGGTTAAGGCAAAACGTAACATGAAATCATTGCACTATAAATTGCATAAAGAAATAGTGGTTGACCAAGAAATACAAACAAAAAATATGAGGAATATGTCAATGAGACAGCAACCAACCAAATACAAATAGAGACGAGTTGAGGTCAGTGGATAGTCTACAGAAAAAGTTATAACTTATATACATACATATATGAAAATAACAGCAACTGAATGTGACCTTTATAATTTACTGAATGATATTTTAGATTGAAGATAGTTTACTGTGAACTCATGTGATCCAAGGTCCAGTTAATTTAATACTACATGTATTGGTAAGTAGGCACTAAAGAAACTATTTGCTTATTAATTTTATCCAATACAATTGGGAAATGTTTTTTAATTGTAATTTAATTATAAAATTATGAAAGGGGAGGTAATCAAGCACTTTTTAAATAGGATTTACATTTTGCACTAGGAGCAATATTTTTTTGATATGGTACAAGGGAGTGCTCTTATAAAAGGAGAAAGATATAGAAAAATAAAAATACATACATTTGATATATACTATTGGTTTCAGTATCTGAAAATGAATGTGACCTTAATAATTCAATTATATTTTCAGTTTGAAGAGCTAATAACTACTGTGTACTGATGTCATGTGTTTCAAGGCCACGTTAAGTTGTTATTACATTTGTATTGGTAAGTTGTGGCATTGAAGTCAAATATATAGGAACTTTTACTTATTCATTTAATCAAACAAAATTCAGGAATAAATTTTAATTCTAATTGAAAAAACTCTGAAAGGGGAGATAATCAAGAATTGTTCCATTAGAAGTAGAATTACACCCGTTCTATTAGTAGACAAAAAGTAAAATGATATCATCACAACATTAATTGTATAAAGAATAAAGTGGTTTACCAAGAAATACAAACACAAAATATATGAGGAATATGTCAATGAGACAGCAACTGAACAATACAAAAAGAGACAAGTAGAGGTCAGTACATGGTCTACAGAGAAATTCAAACTTTTAGATATATATGAAAATAATTTGTAGCAAAATAAAAGTGACCTACTAATTTACAGTTTGTTTTTTTTTAGTTTGAAGATATAATAATACTATGCGCTGATGTAGCTGAAGGCTAGGGCAAGTCATACCTATTGGTAAGTAAACATTGTAGTCAAATTGTATAGGAATGTCTACTAGAGTTTGTTCATAGTGTATTTCATTTGTAAATGATATAATTTTGAAAGGGGAGATATTTAAAAGGTACTTGTTTCATTACAAGTAGCATTATATCAGTGCTTTTATTTCCTTTGCAATGTATATGAACATTTTGCACTAATAGCAACGTTGGTTAAGGCAAAACGTAACATGAAATCATTGCACTATAAATTGCATAAAGAAATAGTGGTTGACCAAGAAATACAAACAAAAAATATGAGGAATATGTCAATGAGACAGCAACCAACCAAATACAAATAGAGACGAGTTGAGGTCAGTGGATAGTCTACAGAAAAAGTTATAACTTATATACATACATATATGAAAATAACAGCAACTGAATGTGACCTTTATAATTTACTGAATGATATTTTAGATTGAAGATAGTTTACTGTGAACTCATGTGATCCAAGGTCCAGTTAACTTAATACTACATGTATTGGTAAGTAAGCACTAAAGAAACTATTTGCTTATTAATTTTATCCAATACAATTGGGAAATGTTTTTTAATTGTAATTTAATTATAAAATTATGAAAGGGGAGGTAATCAAGCACTTTTTAAATAGGATTTACATTTTGCACTAGGAGCAATATTTTTTTGATATGGTACAAGGGAGTGCTCTTATAAAAGGAGAAAGATATAGAAAATAAAAATACATACATTTGATATATACTATTGGTTTCAGTATCTGAAAATGAATGTGACCTTAATAATTCAATTATATTTTCAGTTTGAAGAGCTAATAACTACTGTGTACTGATGTCATGAGTTTCAAGGCCACGTTAAGTTGTTATTACATTTGTATTGGTAAGTTGCGGCATTGAAGTCAAATATATAGGAACTTTTACTTATTCATTTAATCAAACAAAATTCAGGAATAAATTTCAATTCTAATTGATAAAACTCTGAAAGGGGAGATAATCAAGAGTTGTTCCATTAGAAGTAGCATTACACCAGTTCTTTTAGTTCTTTTGAAAACAGAATAAACATTTTGGCTAAGTATCTTTTGTCACATGGTAGAAAAAAAGTAAAAGGATATCATTACAATATTAATTGCATAAAAATATTTTAGACCACTGTGGTTTATCAAGAAATACAAACAAAAAATATATGAGGAATATGTCAATGAGACAGCAACTGAACAATACCAAAAGAGACAAGAAGAGGTCAGTATAAAGTCTACAGAGAAAATTCAAACTTTTAATTGCTTAAAAAATATAGTGGTTTTCCAAGAAATACAAACAAAAAATATATGAGGAATATGTCAATGAGTCAGTAACTGAACAATACAAGAGACAAGTAGAGGTTAGTACATGGTCTGCAGTGAAAGTTAAAACTTATATATATATGTATATATAGAAGTCTATAAAAAGGACCAACCAGCAAATTTACTATGTACATATATGTATACACAAGTCTAAATTGAAAACAACGTTCAAACCTATGATTGCGTTGGATAAAAACCGCAATTTTTATACGTGTGCATGCAAAACAAATTTCTTGGTAGAGGGGTCTAAATACAGCACAAACAACATATATGTATACATATATATATATTGTTGGTGATGTTGTACCCTTTTAGACTGGTTATATATTGTATTTTGTAGTGTACTGTATCATAATTATATGATCCATCGCTCCGTAAGATTTATTGTTGGCTATTATTCAGTCATTTTATATATATATATATATATATATCATATATGAAAATAACAGCAACTGAATGTGACCTTTATAATTTACTGAATGATATTTTAGATTGAAGATAGTTTACTGTGAACTCATGTGATCCAAGGTCCAGTTAACTTAATACTACATGTATTGGTAAGTAAGCACTAAAGAAACTATTTGCTTATTTATTTTATCCAATACAATTGGGAAATGTTTTTTAATTGTAATTAAATTATAAAATTATGAAAGGGGAGGTAATCAAGCACTTTTTAAATAGGATTTACATTTTGCACTAGGAGCAACATATTTTTGATATGGTACCAGATAGTGCTCTTTTTGGAGGAAGATACAGAAAATACATACATGTGACATATACTATTGGTATCGGTATCTGATTCCACATGGCACTTGTTAATCATTGTCAATACCTATAATGTGGAAAACAAAAGGGTTGGACTGATGTAATTTTTAATCAACACCATTGTCCTATATAAGTTATGTATAAGTCAAATTCTTTGATTTGTCGTGTTTACGTCATGAAGGCTAACAAAATGGACCTTGTTATTTTAGTATTATAGATATATATATAAGTGTGTCTAAACCTGTGACAACTTTATATGACAGACATTCTCTGTTGGATTATCTGTGGTTATACAGCGCTAACACCATAATATATATATATCATCGTCTCATAGGTTTTCGTTAATATTAAGAATGCATTATGACGTCACGATTTCCATTGAAAAAGCATGCATAGTTCGAAAACATATGACTACGAAAACATATGATATGACCATATGTATGAAAGGCAAACAATGATAGTGACCTTAAGAATTTGATATATTTTCAGTACGAAGATTTATAACCAAGTACTGATGTAATTAAAGGTCCATTCAATTTATATTGTAAGTAAACATTTTAGTCAAAATGTTTAGATATGATAATTTAATACAACCTTCTATAATGTATAATGAAATAAAATTCAGAAATATATCAAATCTTTTAAGAATACTTATTAAATTTATTTTATCAATGAAAATTCAGAAATATATTTTAATTGTAAATGGTAAAATTTTGAAAGGGGAGATAATCAAGCATAAGTTGTTTATTCTTAGTAGCATTACACCACTGTTTTTTTTCAAATTTTGAACTTAGCAACTTTTGGACTGAGTAACATGACATATGAACACAACGAATTGCCTAAAAAACAGAGGAATATGTCAATGAGACAGCAATCAAACAATACAAAAAGAAACTGATATTTTTATATATAATATATATTCTATAAATACAAATTGATAATTTAATTGTACTTTTAGTTTGATGATTTTTAATTATTTATTTTTTAGATGTCTCATATAAAGAAAAGAAAGGTGCCATGCACTTTTGTAGTCCATCAAAATGGGAAAAAGAAAACAATAACTAAGTCATACAAACCTTTATCATCAATTGATAAAACTGCTGGTGCCAAAAATGATAAAGATGAAACTATAAATGCACAGGTGATGAACAATGAACCAGAAAGAAATGGGGATGTACAGCTGAACAATGAGCATGAAACACCTTTTACAGTTGACCCTAAAAATAGTATGTGAAGTGTAATTATTTTAAAGTGGCATTTATGATCTCCTTAAAGTAGAATTATGGGTTATAAGATGAATAAAGAGGTGTGCCATGAGTGCATTATATGCCCTTCATTTTTTCAATGAAAAAATGTCCATAACTCATCAATATCATATCAGAAATGTATTAAAAAATAAAGGAAGCTTATCTTAATAGATATAAACCATTCACCAAAGTTTCAAGTTTCAAAGGTTTAAGCCTTTTTTGAGTGATTCTCAGACGTGTTGATTACAGACGGACAGACAAACAACAATATACAATAAAACGAATGTTCTGTAAACGGGCTTATAAAATTGAATTTTTTAAGCCAGAAAGAACTTGAAAGTTGACCAAAAAATGGTATAAAAAAAAATTGATAATTCTGCATATTCTGTCATCATAATTTTATTGGTATTTTTTAAAAGGTGCAAATGTGTTAACATCATTGATGAAGGTGACTGTAAAATATGTGTTGTAATTATTCATTAAGTATAAATATCATGCAAAAGATTGTCTAATTAGAATTTAATTTTGATATTTTTAGGTTGTTTTTTATACTTACAGTACCAAATACTTTAGTACTTTTTTTTAAGAATATGCTAAAGCCAAGTTCCAACGTTTAAACCATTGGTCAGAATTATGCAAGAAGCTGGTGTCTGCAGCAAAAGAAAAAGAAGCAGTATTCGATTTTAAATGCCAGGATTGTGGAATTGAAAACCTTGATCTCTACCGATGCATAGATTGTATATCTTGGCCAGTTATATGTGAAAGTTGTCTGGAAATTAGGCATCAATTTCCACATTTACATGTTTTTGAGAAATGGATGGTAAGATTTTCCCCTTTTTTTAAAGAAAAACCATGTAAAATTAACTTGTAATTTAGTAAAGCAGATCTTTTCAGTAAGAATTTCTGAAATTAATAAAAATGTATGTGTGATGACAGCCCCCCTTCTTAATAAAGCATGAAGATACATGCAGATAATTGCTTTATGAAATATTTATCATAGACCAGGTTGTTTTTATGGTTTCATGTATTGATTTTTGTTATAAATGTATAAAATTAGAAATAGGTGTTGATTGATCATATTATTTCTGTTTGTTTAATTATTACAATTTTTGTGGAAATTGGCCATGCTTGGTTTAATTTATTTGAGGCATGATATCTGGATGTATTTTCTTTTTGTTGTCAATGTTTGTTATTTGGTTGGGGTCTCTTTCACCCCAATGTCTCTTCTTATTCATACTTATTGGCAGTTTAATATAATGTTTTTAGCTCACCTGGCCCACAGGGCCAAGTGAGCTTTTCTCATCACTTGGCGTCCGGCGTCCGGCGTCCGTCTTTGTCGTCGTCGTCGTCGTCCGTCGTCGTTAACTTTTACAAAAATCTTCTCCTCTGAAACTACTTGGCCAAATTTAACCAATCTTGGCCACAATCATCATTGGGGTATCTAGTTTAAAAAATGTTTCTGGTGACCTGGCCAACCAACCAAGATGGCCACCATGGCTAAAAAATAGAACATAGGGGTAAAATGTAGATTTTGGCTTATATCTCTGAAACCAAAGCCTTTAGAGCAAACCTGACATGGAATAAAATTGTTTTTCAGGTCAAGATCTATCTGCCCTGAAATTTTCAGATGAATCGGACAACACGTTGTTGGGTTGCTGC